GATGCGGGACTCGATCCCGGGACTCCAGGATCATGACCTGAGCCGAAGGCAGTTGCTTAACCAACTGAGCCACCCAGGCGCCCAATAAATAAAATCTTAAAAAAAAACAAAAAAAAAAACTAACCCTAACAGCCTCAGAACACAAAATGAAGTAATCAATGCAGAGAAGATGGCATGAATGCCCAAATTTTACATCTACTGACCCAGTCAACAAGGGATAAATTAGTTCAACTGGAAGAAATATGTTTAAAAAGGCAGAAGACTCTTAAAATGAAGTTGTTGAGTTAACCTGTCAGTAGAAAATTATAATTACCTGTACCATCACCGTAGTCCTTATGTATGGAAATATGTCTACTTGAATTACATCTATCATTTCTATCTGAAATCAACATTGAAATCAAGTTGAGATGTCTGTGACAGGGTTACATAATTGGAAGGAAGGACTGCTCCATTGGTGGAAACTTCCCACTAATCACTGCAGATTACCTTTGACAATGTGCTGAAGTCAGCAAATCCATCTTCAAATGATTCACTTCCAAAAACAGAAGCAAAGGGATCTGTGGCTAAAATGAATAAAGAAAATCAGTGCAATAGGCATCAAAATTTCATGTCCTTTTTTGGTTGGTTAACGTTCAGACAGATGAAAAAGATCTAATCCTAAATATCATTCCTGAATTTATGACTTAAATCCAGTGAACAAATTGATACCTACCCCCCGACACACACACAATACACTCTTTTGTATAAATCAACTGATGAATTATTTCAGATGAAAAACAAGAAAACTAACTCTAGGTTTAAGGCTTTGGAATACATGTCAAGTAATATAGTTCCCATGCACTGAAACTATTTCTAATAAAGCTATCAGGAAGTAAGAGAAGGTAGATTCCATTAATTCCACATTTCACACTTATCCTTCAGGGTGCATTTTAAATGTCACCTCATCCACTAAGCCTGGGAAAACCTCTAATTCCCATAGCAAGCAGTGATTTCTTTCTTCTTTGTGGCAGTGACTGCATTCTAGTTTGTACTATGATTATCTGTGATTGATATATCACATTAGATTGTAAAGTCCTTAAAAACAGTGAATAAGGCTTATCCAAGAAGAATGGTCAAAAACATTTCTTGAATATCAGATCTAAGAAAATAAGAAAAGACAGTTCCTAGCCCCCAAATCTCACAGTCTAATGAGACACATGTAAAAAACAATAATAAAACAATCTTAAATGAGCTATTAGAGAGGTATGAAAACCCCACAGTAGGAGTCACTAACTGGGAGAATCAGAAAATGTATCAAAGAAACTATTACATTTGAGCTAGGTCTTTTAAATAAGGAACAGATCGAGGTGGGAAAGATAAAGATATTCCAGGCAGAGGGAACAGTAACTGCAAAAGTAATTATTTAACCTGCTCCCAGGCATGAGAAGTTATCTGTTCCATCACACTGCACTTACAAATGGATTAACATTTTTGGCTGGAATAAACGGATCTATTTTGAGATAGGTTTCACCTATTCAGGCATAAAGGCTAAGAATGTTTATAGGAATTGTAACTTGATATAGGAAAATAGAAAGAAACAAAGGAAGGAAGGGAAAGAGAATTGCAAGAGACAGGGTAAGAAAGAGCAAAGAGGCACTGAAAATTTTTCCTTGTTCTCCCTCAAATCGTCATCTTTACATCAAATCAGTCTTAAAACAAAAGTGTGCCCACATACCCATTTAAATGTGTAAAGTGTGTCTTTACCTCTAAAAATCAGTATACCATGGACATAAACTGAAGAGGGGCAAGAAGGTATATATTACTTTTGCTTGCTTTGTCACCAAGACAGTCATGAGGTGGAGGAAGCAGGTAAAGAGGGTAGGAAGAAGCATAAAGAAAATTAGCCCTTTAGGGATAGACCAACAACTCTGAGCCTGAAGAGGATGTTGAAAGTCCAGAGTTATAAGAAACTCTACGGCATTAGCCATAAAAGATGCTTTTTTATAACTACATATCTAAGTCCCACAGCCTGGGGCCCAGCCTAGTCATGGGTGTTGTTTTAGACTTTCCTTTCTTTCTCCTTCTCTGCGCCTTGTAATTCCTGATGCCACAAGCAGCTGAGGCACAACCAGGGTGCAGATGTTCTCCTGACTGGTAGAAAGGTGATGAGGGAAAAGGAGTTGGCTCCTTTCACTGGAGGGAACTAAAAAATCTGCTATGATCATGCTTTTTCTCTGCCACAGCCTTTACAAGAAGTTATAACGCTCAGGGCAACAGTGTTGAGTTAGGTCAAGTTTGACTGAAATGTTAAGTATACACTGTGAAATACATTAATAAAATACATGACATTTGTATATAAAGAATATGCTACTTATAGTTTTACTAGAGTTTTTCTACACTTTCTTCATCAGAAAAAAACGACCTATTCGGCATTGGTCCAAACAGTGGGGAATGTGTCCTGGATGAATGACAAAGGACTTTTGCCCAAATTGGGGAATTAAGACTTTGGCAACCACCTCCTCAGATATTGATCATGACTGATATGAAGTAAAGGCCTGTCCAGAGACTGGAAGGACTCACTGGGTATGAACTTTTCCAGACCATGTGCTGCGGATTCCCAGAAATATTCAGAGAGGAATCAGTAGGTGGCTTTCTTCCTCTTGATCACACAGAAGCTATAGACCATCAGAATGAAGCTTTAAATGCAAATGTGATCTCACTGGCACCCTCTCCTCCCCAAGAATAAAGGTGATGAACACTTCGGAAAATTACATAAAAGCATAATTTAAAAAATCATCTATAATTTCATTATCAGAAATAACCCTTATCAATTATTTTAGCATGCTTCTTTAACAGCTTTTTTTCCTGGTATTTTTTTCCTTTAAAGCTACATTTTAGGCATATCATTTTTAATCCCCTTATCCCGATTTAATTCATAGCATTCATCAGTACTTGACATATTACGTATTTGTTTATTGCCTATCTTTCCCATATAAACCCTATAAAGACGAGAACTCGCTTTGTTCACTACTGTATCGTCAAGGCCTAGAAAAAGGTCTGATAAATAGAAGATGCTCATATTCACTGAAAATACTGAGAGAAAAGGGGGACAGAAACTGTCTACTTATTAAGGATCTTCCAAACAGATACCATAATACTTCTTAGCATAACCAGCTGACCAACAAGGAATAAGGGAAACCAGTTTTAAGGCTCACAAATAATAACCAAGAACAGGTATCTAACAAGAGAATCCTGGGAAAAGGAAGAAATTTTTTTTTTCCATGACCCATGCACAAGTCATCAGATAATCAAGTTCAAACTCAGAAAACCTTTAAGAGATACTCAATGAATAATCTGAGGTGTTGGTCATTAATAAAGAATCCATTTTCTCAAGCTGGTCTCCAAATCATTCACTCACTCACTCACTGACCCACTCATCCACTCACATTTACTAAGCATCAAGGCTAGGTACTGGGGATTTAGAGGAGAATAAGACACAACACCTACCTTCAAGGAACTCATGGTTTGAGTGATACATATGTATACAACTGCTACACACTAAGTATTAAAGTTCAAAGAGAGTAAAGGAAAAGCAACAGCTAGATTTATGTGAAAGAGGCCAAGAAGACTTTCCAAAAAGGGTTTTACTTTCTTGTGGACAGAAAGGAGGTGGGAGAAGAGAGAAACATATACACACTATACACAAATATACAAATACACACCTGCTCATGCACACACATTTTTCCAGGCAAAAAATAAGTGGCCTTGAAGAGACAGTCATGGCCTGTGGTTTGTGGAAATAGAGAAAATTAGAGAAGAAACATGAAAGAAGGCAGAGGCTAAGAATAATAAAACATATGAACATCTGTATGCTTAGCCTGAGTCATTGCCTGTAAAAATGAAGACCTACGTGGCATTTTACTGCCTCTAGAGTCAAAGATGCTCTGGGGAGACCACAAGTTCCCCTCTAAATCCTCAGGATGTTATAAAGCTTTAATTAAGAGTTGGAAAGACTTCTCATTTCCTCAGTTAGGAGTTAGTAAAATATTCCATGCAAAAAATCTTCTGGCACCAGAACTAATCCCATCTATAATGAAGTGGAAAAAGAACTCTTACAAGACAAAATAAAGTATATGTAGAAACTGAGTAACCTGCATTTGCTTTCTTTAGTATTCTTTTTTTTTTTTTAAGAATAAGGAGACTCTATTTTATTTTATTATTTTTTTTTAATTTTTTATTTATTTGCGAGAGAGAGAATGAGAGACAGAGAGCATGAGAGGGAGGAGGGTCAGAGGGAGAAGCAGACTCCCTGCCGAGCAGGGAGCCCGATGCGGGACTCGATCCCGGGACTCCAGGATCATGACCTGAGCCGAAGGCAGTCGCTTAACCAACTGAGCCACCCAGGCGCCCCACCCTCTTTAGTATTCTTTTAGTCTGCAACGTGTCTACTCACAAGGAGTAAATGCTAAAAAGACCCCACTGTGAGTCAAAATATTAAAAATATCTGATGTCCTTCTATCTCTATCATAATCACCAAATTTTAGAAGTAGGGGTGATTTATCATTTAATTTTTAAGAACAAAAATTTACCCTTAGGTTTTTAGTTTATTTTGAAAGCTTCTATTTTTCCTGTTCTGCAGGATTAATCTTTTTTTCTGGCTAAACACTTTATTTCTTGGTGAAAAAGAAGAGGGATATTGGAGTGTAAGAGGACAAAAGTCCTGTTTGTGACCTTGGGTGTATAATGCCACCTCTCTGAGTCTCAGTGGTTTCCAGATGTTGGGATTTTATTTTTAGCAAACTAAATAAATATATTAAAACCAACACACATAGAGAAAACAACAACATACAGAGATTTGCTTAACTTAAAAAGAACTTAAAAAAGGAGTCCATCTTTCATTTCACAAACAAAAGGATTTAAAAACTAAAAAGAAGAGAAAACAATCTTAGACTGGAAAGAATCCTTTCCAGGAAAAGAGAGTTGGCAACAATTCTCATTCTCATTTTCTCTCTCTCATCCCTATTTGCCTTGGAACTATCAAAGAGTATATTCCAAGTAACATTAGTCAGGATTTAGAAACCATTAAACTAAAAAATAGTAGTAATAAGAGTAATAGCAGCTACCATTTACTGTGATAGGTATCACAATAAATACTTTAACATACATTATCTCATTTAATCTACCAAACAAACCCATGAAGTATAATTATTAACCTCATTTTATTGTTTAGGAAACGGAGACTAAGAAAACCTAAGGAATTAGCATTTTATCTGAGTAAGTTCAGGCTGTTGGCTTCAAACACCCATGTCCTAATGATGACAACCCCCCCTCTAGACTGTTTATGCTTCCATTCAATTCAAAATCTTACGATAATGTAGCAGATTGGAGACAAATCATTTATTCATTTCTTCAGCATTCAACTGATAAGACTCTGCTATGTCCCAGAAGCTCTGGGGTGGGAAAGTAGGGATACAACTTAGGATGACTCCCAAATCTCTGCTTGGGCAACTGAGTAGATGGTAATACTATTAACAGGGATGGAATGTCCAGAAGATGTTTAGTAATGTTTTTTATTTCATCAAGTGGACAACTTTACTTTCAGACATAT